GGGGCTAGTAAACAATATTTTTAAAAAATAAAAAAAAAAAAATTATCAGGAAAAAAAGGTTAAATAATTCCTGATAATTTTTTTTTTTTACTTTTTAAAAATATTGTTTCCTAGCCCAAACCCCCGAACAAAACCCAAAACCTCAATTTAGTTTAGGGTTTTGCTTTTAATTTCATCTTCCAGCCCAAAAAACGCCGCTCCTTGGTTTTTCTTTTTTTTTTTTTGGCTTAAAAGTCACAAACCCATATCCACTCCTGCGCAATACCCATGGCGATTTTCAGAATGGGTGATGAATTTTCTCATTTTTTGGGTCCCTTTTTTCTCTAGATCTTATTTTATGTTTTTTTTTCTCTGGATTTGTTTGTTTTCCAGATATGGGATTTTTTAATATGTTCTCTCTTTTTATGTGAACCTTGCGGCATCTCAAGGTTAGCCCAATTTGCCCATCAATCGGCACACTTCAAGAGGTTGTTTGCCCAATTCGCAGGTCAATAATCATTTAATACCCTCCTCTTCATCCTGTCTAAAAATAATGTTTGAATTTAGACCGTTTTTCTTATAATGTATAATTAATTATTTATTTTTTTGAAAAAAAATGGAGAAGGTTAAGTATAAGTATAGTCATATGCTAAATTGTATTAAAAAAAAAAAACCCAGTCATTTTTTTATAGGAAAATGAGAAAAATACCTTGGTTCTGCTTTTCAAAGAGTTTGTTCACAACTCACACACATTCTTTACATCATCTTCATTTAGGTAGGCTCTGTTTTGTCTGAGGCCATCTTTTTTGCTTATGCTGAAAATTTCGAATGATGAGATAGTTCTAAAATACAGATAAATAAATGTGGATGTATGGCCATCAAAGTTGAACAGTATCTTTTGGGGGGTGTAGGTTGGTTGGTGCTATTTTTTATTTCCAATGTTTGAATAATATGAAATGACAAAACTCACACACACACAAATCAAGTTGCAGGTTTCTCAAGGGGTAGGTTTACCCCCGCAGCCATCCATAGCCAGCATGCCCATCTCCCACACAAGTCATTCACCTGGAGGCCTGCCCCAGGTAAAATAGGGTTTGTTCTGTTCTGTTGGTTAGGTTGAGATAAGATCTGGGGATTTGGTTTTTTTCCCTAAATTAGAAGAATTAGGGTTTTTATTTACTTATTTATTTATTTTTGTTCTTCAGCCCTATTTTTTATGTTTGGGGATTTATCTGTGATCAGTGTCAGCAAAACTAATAAAAAATATTTTCACCCGTTTGTATTTAGTGGTCTTCCTTTTCTTTATTTGCTTTTGTGACTACGTACCTTGAACTTATTCAGATAACTCCATAGCCTCCTCATATCTGGGAGAGGATGGGAACTTGCTTGTTAGAAGCTTTCTCAGGCCATAGGGAGAGGTTTGATAACTCGAGCTAAGCAAGGGGGAATTATTTCTCTAAGGCAAAGCTATAGTTACGGTAGAAAAGTACTCCTGTTTTATGGTACTCGAAAAGAGAAGCTAGCCCAACGGATTCTAGTAAGCGTTGGTGTGGCTTATGCTATAACTGTTTCAGGTCGCACCTGGAGTAGGACCCATAATAAGAACAAATTCTTACTACAACTCGTTGTCTTTTTGATAAACTTTTGTCCTTGAGGACCATCAAGTAGTACAAGACCAAGGAGCTATGTATTGATCGAGCTCTTGAAGTGTGCAAACACTAAAATGATACATTATAAGAAAAACGGTCTAAATTCAAACATTATTTTTAGACAGGATGAAGAG